ATTGAGATGAATGGTTCAGAGAAGGGATTCTGGCTAACAAATTGCAAAGGATGTGTAAATCTATCAAAATTAGCCTCGATCATCATGTTACAAGGGAGGAAGAAGAGCTTTGGCCTCTTTTTGATGTTCATTTTAGCATTGAGGAGCAGGATGAAATTGTAGGACGCATCATTGGAACCACGGGTGCTGAAGTTCTTCAAGTATGCTGCGTGCTAACATGCACTTTCAATAGCGCTCTCTCTCTTTCTCTCTGCACAACATTTTTGCATACGTAGTGCCCATTCCATTGTGTGTTAAGGGAACGGTGGTTACTGTGTCAAAATGATGTTTGATTTCTGTCCTAGCATCAGACTTAGTGTTTATGTCGCTTTGTTTGCAGTCGATGCTGCCATGGGTTACAACAGCTCTTACCGAAGACGAGCAGAACATTATGATGGATACATTGAGACAGGCAACTCGAAACACCATGTTTGACAAATGGCTACGGGCCTGGTGGAAAGACAACCCTGCATCCAGTAGCGACACAACAATTTCTACTGAAAATCAATCTGTACCCTCTGCAAGCTCAAGTGAATCACTGCAGATGGTTGTCGATTACTTTTCTAAAGAGGCTATTAGTGTAGGGACAACAACAGAGGAAAGCTCCATTCATTCAGGTATTTGTGAAATTCGATTATAGTTCCCTACTTTTGTTGGGAGGCTTTCGTATGGCCTAGGTCTTGTTGACTTTTTTTTTTTTTTTGTGACAGTTATTAAAACTTTACGCTAATCGTCTCCATACTCTTATTTGCAGGTTCTGGTTTTCCAAGTAATATTTGCTCAGATGACGAAGACAGGCAGGTGACCACCATGGACAAAGCTATCACTGATCAGGGTAGCAAAGATGCAGTTTTCAAACCTGGATGGAGTGATATATTCAGGATGAACCAAAAAGAATTGGAAGCCGCCATTCGGAAAGTTTCTAGTGATAGTTCCCTTGATCCGCGACGAAAGGCTTATCTCATGCAGAATCTTATGACCAGGTTATTTTTTTTAACTTTTCTTTTTTGCTGGAATTATTCTCTTGTATGTTATGTAAATGTAGGAGATATTTGCGATCTGATCTCCCATTCTAACTTGATAGTTTATTTTCGATTGTACTTTACAGCCGTTGGATTGCATCACAGCAGCATGTCTCGCATGAAAAACCAGTCACGGAAGGAGACAACCCTGCTGATATTCCTGGAAGGAGACCTTCCTATCGTGATGAAGAAAATGGTATATATGGTTGTGAGCATTACAAACGTAATTGTAAATTGAGAGCTGCATGTTGTGGAAATCTTTTTCCCTGCCGTTTTTGTCATGACAATGTCAGCGATCACTCCATGGATAGGTAAGTCCGACTTCGCGACGAAATTAAATCCAAATATTTTTCTTGTTTATTCGTGAGAAACAGATTGATATGCCTTTTTGAAAGTCGTGACGTGAAATGCTTTATTGTTCAGCTTCCAAATTTTGGCAGATTGCCACAGTTTTCATGGGTATGTTTGCCCTTTTATTTTGCACTCTATAAGCTACTGTGTACTAAGGTGGTGAAATTTCACAGGCATGCCACAAAAGAGATGATGTGCATGCAGTGCTTACAGGTGCAGCCTGTGGCTGCTGTGTGTAGCACCCCGTCGTGCAACGGCTTCTCCATGGCTCGTTATTTCTGCAACATTTGCAAGTTCTTCGACAATGATGATAGGTATGCATTCTTCGTCTTTAAATAGTTTAAACAATAACTTCTAGTTCTACATGCTTTTAACAGTTGAACGTGTTTGGGTTCCAGTTAACCTACTTCTCTTCTTGACTTGTTATGAAATAAAATGCGCAGATAATCCGATTAGCACCCATGTTTCTAGCAGCTACCATACTCATTCTTTGCCAACGAAGTCCTGCTTACATATAGAATGCATTCTTTGCAATTTACACATCGTGGTTAGGGAGTATTGACATGTTGGCTGATTTGCAACGCAGGGATATATATCACTGTCCATCGTGCAATCTTTGCCGTGTTGGCAAGGGTTTAGGCATTGATTTCTTTCATTGTATGACGTGCAACTCATGTATGGCCATGCATCTCAAAGAACATAAATGCTTGGAGAAAGGTCTCGAATCCAATTGCCCTATCTGCAACGACTTCTTATTCACTTCCAACACGCCTGTCAAAGCTCTTCCTTGTGGCCACTTCATGCATTCTGCCTGCTTCATGGTCTGTGTTTCATTCCCTGAAAGGATTCTCTATAGAAGCATACAGTTATTGCGTTGTTGCTTGGCTTCCAATGATCACCCCGGTCAGTCGCTTGGCTTAGTTATCAGTCCTTGCTTGAGTTTTCCAGTTGCTTGAATGTTTCTATTGATCATGTGCTTTACGTCTTCCTTTAGAGGCTTGACCTTACCACTTCTAATTGCGACTCTTTATTAAATAGCCGCACTGAAGTTTCTAGTCACTGCGTTTCAAATCTCTCATTAACTTATTCAGAGTACGATTCTAGGGCTATCATTAATTTCCTTATTGCTCGAGGCGTGTGGTTTCGGCATTATCTAATTGGATGGAAGGAATACTATATTAAGTACATAATTCTTGGTGGCTACATTTCACAATGTAACGTACGTTCTTCTGTACAGGCGTACACGCATAGTCATTATACTTGTCCTATCTGCAGCAAGTCTGTTGGAGACATGGTGGTAAGTAGAATGTGACTGACTTATCACTTGAAGATACAAGGATATTTTATCTTTCTTACTATTTTATTTTGAGGCATCGTATTGAGTTCTCTGTGGGACAAACTCTTTGAAATGCACGTTAACATAAATTGTTACTTATATAAGCAATTCTTTGTTTCGCTCCAATTCCTTGAAAATTGAGATATCATTCGGTCTTTCTGTCCAGGTATCTTCTAACTGTGTGTGTTTTACTATGCAGGTTTATTTTGGTATGCTGGATGCCTTATTGGCTGCTGAACAGCTTCCTGATGAATATCGAAACAGATGCCAGGTTTAAATTCTGAACCGCTTTGTATTTAGAACCTGGAAATTAAATTATCTGATGCATACATGGCATATACTTTGTGTTCTACGATAGTTATTTTTATTTTTATTTTTCACCTTTCTTTGAAATGTACATGTATTGTCTGAAGTACAAATCGGTTCGCTTGATGTTCCTTTCATGCAGGAAATTCTATGCAACGACTGTGAGCAAAAGTCTACTGCACCTTTTCACTGGCTATATCATAAATGTGAAGGATGCGGTTCCTATAATACCCGCACCATATAATGTACTTCCTAGATTCTTGCACCAACCTTTTACTTTGTGATGTGAAAGTCTCTTTTGTACGTGAGCATACACAAAGATATCATTTATTTTGGCACCGTATTCTATAATACCCTTCTTTAGGCTTCGGTTTATTTAGGTCTTCAAATGTGGATATCGAAGGTGGGTCTTTGAGAATACATTTGACCTATGAATCATGCCTTGAGCTGTTTGAAAGTCACGCAGCGCCTATGCATCACAAGACGTTTCGTATCATGACGAAAAATCCGTTGAGATTGTGCAGCTCCAACTTGAGGTGAAGATTGTCTTTGTAGGCATGTTCTCTATCTATATACGCTGCTTGTTTTGGTTGCAGGTTTCTATGTCTGCTTCATTTTCTACAAATCACCGTATTTCTGGTGGTTCTGTTGTACAAGTAGTATCGAATCTCCATTTGTAGTCTCGTCAAGTCGGCAATATTCCCCACGTTCTGACTAGTCTCGTGTTTTTGTTGTTCGATGCAGTAAAACTCAAGTGTTCAATTCGCTTTTGTGTATTCCTCATGTCTGAAGACGTTTAGTTCATTCGAATCAGTAAATTCACAAATGTGAAGCGCATATTCCAACCTATGTGCAGAAGTAGACCATAGCTACGCATATCTTTCTGTAATCAAGTTCAGGCTTCAGATAGTGTACATTGGTTGGATGTTCCCGCTTCTCTCGGTTTATTTTAAGCACAACTTGATATCCACGGCTATCTTCTGGTTTTCCTGTACTGTACGTGACACTTCTGTCGTCCATCAGTCTATTTGCTTGAATGTAAGAAGTAATTGTCTTCTAGACGAGCTTACGACAGAAAGTGTCTTTCAAGCATATAAACAAAGGGTTGGTAGGTACAAAAATATCGCATTTGCTCTGCCTGGGGATAGACTTTACATCTTAGTGCAGTAGGTAACAAGTTGTAGCATGGTTTGCCCATGTTATTCAAAATGGGGAGTGCTGCATTTTAATTTGTTTCCTGGTTTTTCCCAGATAACTCAACCTTTTGTATGGAACCCAATCTTTGGTGGGAAGTACTGACCAAGTGACCACACGTATGGAACACACCTTAAGGGATATTCTACACTCAGTGGTACATCTGCGGAGCAATGCACACGTAGTGATATAACTACGCCGGCAGAGTAAGAATCAAAGAAAACTGGCAAACATTCGTAACCAGGTATTTGTGCCAAGACGTTTTCTGTTCAGTCTGAAACGGTCTTGGCTGCATTAATTGTAGCCTGATACAAGTCATAAGCTGGTAAACCCATTCCTAGTCATGCCTTTGACGTGGATGACAGGCCCACAGCCAAATGTCAATATTCCTGTCTCCTTTGTCCAGCAGTAGGGTAGCATTGGGTTCAAAGTTAGAACTCTTTGGGAACTGAACCAATTCTAAGGACAACAATATGGCAACTCGAAAGTTGATTGAGTTGTGGATAATATTAAGTTAACCGGCTACTCTACATCGCCTAAGTCAATGTGAGCATCGGCAAATAATAATCGTGCTTTAGTCCCCATTTGCCAATCTCAGAAGTTGAGGGTGAATCCTTACGTAGGTGTTGAGATATTATTGATATTGAAATACATGAAAAAACATTCTGTGTGTAATGCAGAAAGAAAAATAAACATGCTCTTGATAATTAAAGAGAAGAGCATTGAACTAGGTTTTTTTTTTTTTTTTTTTTTTTTTTTTGATACTCATTCATCTTCTCTGATATTAAAGAAAATGAATTAATATTTGATTCAAAATGATTTAGTATACATATTCAATGAATTCCTTGTACCAAAAGTTTTAGTGCAAAATTATAGTATATAAATAATTAATGAGTTGTAAAATAGAAATATGATTTAAACCATATAATAAATCTAATTATTTTAGTAAATAATTTTTTGGTATATTTTGATACATATTTGTATTTTTAATTTAATTTCAAGTATCTTATGCATGTTTTTAATCTAAATAATATAAAAATTATAATATATATATATATATATATATATATATATATATATAAATATTTTAAAGTAAATAAGTAAAAATAAAAGTAAAATAAGTTATCTTATAAAGGATATTATTTTAGATAAGTTGCTAATGGTCAAAGTGTTGGCTTTTTGTATATAAGAAGGCTAAGAAATAAGATAGATGAATGGACAAAGGATCTTAAAGGTTAGAAGATATGCTAAAAGTAGCTCTTTGTATGTAAGAAGGCCAAAAGACAAGGTAAATGAATGGATAAAGGATCTTAAGAATATAAAGTATGTGCTAAAGATAAAAAAAGATATCAATAGATAGTCGTAGTAAAATGTTAGATGGATATATTCATCATAGGAAAGAAGTTGTTCGTTAGGACAATAGCTACCACCTATAAGTAATAGATAATGGAAGTGAGAGTTATCTTACTCCATACTCTCTTTGTGTGTAACCTTGCTAATGTTGTGTGTTGTGACTTCAAAGTTCTATTTCTTTAATAGGTTATGTGAATGGGCCTTTAATTGTGAGTTTTGAAATTATTTGAAGTCTTTCTTATTGTAAAGAGATATTATGGTTGTTCTTGATGTTGAGATTTGATATCTTCTAAATTCCTTTTTGCATCTAGTTGTTGATGTAGTTTTACTCTTACTTGTTGTTAAGTGCATTCATGATCTTAGAAGTTATGTAATACTTCAAAATGATATTTTAAAACACTAGTATTATGTTTCTTTGTTGAGTTACATCATTGGTGCACTAATATTATACTTTTATGTGCTAAATTTCTTATGAGATCTTCTAATAGTAATAAAAAGGTATTTGTGAAATTAAAAGTGTTTTTTTGAGAGAGAAGAGTGATTAAAGAATAAAATCACTATTTTACTCACAAAGAAGGTATTCTAGATTTTTAAGTCATGAACTTCTTTATCTTGATTCTAAAATTTCTATTTTATTTATTTTTGTTGTTGTTGTTGTTGTTGTTGTTGTTGTTTTTTTTTTTTTTTTTTTTTTTTTTTTTTTTTTTTAAATCTCTTTGATACATCTCTTCTTTAGACATGGATTTAAGTGAAGATGAAGGCTTGAGAGTTATTGAGAAATTTAAAGATGACAAGTTTTACCATTGGAAGAAAAAAATAGAACTTTTGTTAGCTTCATTGGAACTTTGGGATATTATTGATAAAAGTGAAGAGCTTCCAACCAACAATGCTGATGACAAGGTGAAAAAGAGGTACAAATATTGTGAAAGGAAGGCTTTTGAAATTGCAGTAAATCTTGATGATGCCAACTTTGTGTATGTAATTGCTTGCAATAGACTAGCAAAAGCATAAATAATTCTTTGTAACATCTATGAGAGTGGAAACCTTGTCAATATTCTCTTGAAAAGGATGAAGTTCTTAATGGTAAAGATGGAAGAAAGAGATGACCTCATAGCATATGTCAACTAGGTAAAAACACTTACAAATCAACTAAGAATTATTAACAAGCTAGTTGATGATAAGAACATTGTGTTGACATTACTCAAGAGCCTTTTAGATTTCTACAACTACCTCATTGTGGCATTGGAGTCTATCAACATGAAGGCACTTATCATAAATTATATTATATCGAGACTAGCTCATGAAGTGACTAAAAAGAAAGAAAGAAAAAAAAAACTTTAAAATGATGATTATACACTATTTTTAAGACAAGGCAAAGGTATCTACTTTCATCAACATGATAATTCAAAAAGAAATATAAAAAATTACTATATTTATAAAAAATCAAATCACTTTATAAAAACTTCTTTCAAATTAAAAAAAGAGATAAAGAGAATGCAAACAATGCTCATAATAACTTTAATAGAAATGATTATACTTTCATAGCTAGTGAAGGAGCCTCTATGGTTGCTATGTCCAAATAGATTATAGTTTTGGATGCTACTAAGCACATGATACCATTCAAATATTTATTTGATACTTATGAAGTAATTCTAATAAAAAAAATTTGGTTGAGAGACAATGGCATGGTACAAGCCATTGAAATTGACTTTATTATGATAGAAATTGTAGTAAAAGACCAAACGAAGAAGATCAAATTGAAGGAAGTCTTACATGTGCCAAAAATGAAAAAGAATCTCTTTATGGTGTACAAACTTGTATCTCATGGTTGTAAGGTTCAATTTGACATGAATGGATGTTTTGTGAAGACATTTGATAGACAATATGTTGCCAAAGGCCTTAAAAATGACAGCCTCTACTTCATCAATTGTAAGAAGGTTAATGGAGTTGAAGTGGCGGTATTTGCTGAGTTTCCACAAGATCAAGACAAGTTTAGAATTTGGCATCTATGACTTAGTCATTTGAATGTCAAAAGCATGAAAGAGCTCTAATCCATAGTAAGTGACTTAGATCTTATTTAATTTAGCCACAATGCCATGCCTCTTACTTAAAAAGGTTATATCCAAGGCAAAGAATAAAAAACTTCATATTTAAGTGGAGTTGCAATACATGCTAGCAAATTATTGGAGATTAAACATTCTAATTTTTGTAGACCAATGAAGATGCCATTAATTGGAAGAATAAAGTATTTTGTTATATATATTGATATTTTTTAAAAAAGATGTGGATTTATATCTTTAAAGCCAAGAGTTAGTATTTTTTAAGATTTAAAGTATTTAAGGCACTTATAAAAAAGTAATATAAATACAAGATCAAAATATTGAATACGGATAATGGAAGTAAATATGTGTCAAAGTATTTTGATGAATTTTTGAAGATTCAAGGCATTGTAAGATAAACCTCTATACTTTATATTCCACAACAAAATTGAGTTGCTAAAAGAACAAATTACACTATTGCAAAGATGATAAGGAGTTTACTTTATAGACAAAATTTTGGATATGAATATTGGATAGAAGCCATGATTATTGCAATGTACATAAGAAATAGATGCCTTATAAGTCCATCCAAATCAATGATTCTACAAGAAGCTTGGAGTGGCAAAAAACCTTGTATTTCACATATTATGATTTTTAGATATATTGCTTATGCAAAGGTACGAGATTGTATGAAATCCAAACTTAATACAAAAGTTACAAAATATGTTTTGTTGGATATTATAAGGGTACCAAGGCATATATGTTAATGTATTTAGAAACTAAGATTTAGGATTTAAGAGCATAAGAGTATTTGTGAACATTTGGAAATATGTCCAAGTAGGAATATTGGTGTATCTGTAGATATATCTTCAATTTGAGCAAAGAAAGAAAAAGAAGATGATGAAAATGAAGATGATAGAAATAAAAATTAAAATAGAGAGCTAATGAAGGTAGACTAAAATGTGTCTATAATCAGAACTAACAATGAAGACAATCAAGATTTTGAAGATGATGATAATAAGGAATATCAACCATTAAATATAAAGAGACAAGCCTTAAGATAAAAAAAATTTAGAAGAGACCTTGGAGTGTAAGAAGGTGAATCTTCATCAAATGAAAAGAGACATCCTTTAAGAAATAGAAAACAACTTAGTGAATAATGGGAGAACCACATTTTTTTTAAATAATTAAAAAACATACTAATGTTACACTGTTTATTGATTCATTGAATTTGTGTAATGCAATGAAGTCCATGGATCCTATAAAGTGGAAAAATGCCATGAAAAAAGAATAAAAATCACTCATAGACAATGAAACATGGAAATTGACTCAACTTCCACCAAATTGATCTACAATTGGTTGTAAGTAAATGTTCAAAACCAAAAAAGATGCAATAGATAATATTATG